CAAATATGTAGGTATGTCATGCCAAAATTCTCCGAGAGCCGAACATGGCAATCTTTCACTTTTTTCTTGAACCCTTTTTCGCTTGGCTGCTCCCAGTCTACTGGCAGAACAGATATCACCAGGCGTAACCCAAAATTAGGCATCATAAGTGACCTAAGATTGGCACATTTTACGTGGCACCCTAGTAACAGTAATGAATAACAAGTTAACAGCACCGACTCTATTACCAAAAGGCGAAAATCTGAACGAGAAATGAATGCACACAACAAGAAATCTAATGCATAGCATCGCCGCAAAGATGGCGCGTAAAAAACCGACCAATCAATAACACCGACTCTCTGACCGGTTATGAAAGCCAATACTACTGAAGGCAATAAAAATCAATCGATTTGAAGGTGACCTTACCAAAATCCAATTTCGGTGCCACAGGAATGAGGCCATTTTCACCATATAAGCCTGAAAATGAAGTAAAAGTCTTCTGCTGGGCAACATGTTCAGAAAATGAGGGGCCTTTTAAAGTTTCAAAGCTTTTTGTTTTCATCAGTAATGGTCTTCCAAAATTGATCGACCTTTTCTCCAACTTGGGTGTTAAAAAGTTACAAAATCACAAGAAAGAGCATGAAGTGACCGGTGGAAGTAAAGTAACTAGTAATATATCCAAAATGCCACAAAGAAGCACAACAGTATCAGGATACGAACGTACCAGGAATTTGCCAGTAAAGCGATGAGAATGCAATCAAAAAGATCAGCGATTGACTGCATAGTAGAATATGTTTGACCGTTAATCGATCACAACTCAAGAACGATGGCGGAGGCTGGTAGCCCATTGCAAAAGTCAACAGGAACTTTGGACACTATCGTATGAGGAGGTGGTAACTAAATGGTTTCATTGTAATAGAATACATAAAAGAAACCGCCACTTGAGAAAAAGCCAGTTGTAAGAATGCGGTTGCGTGGCCAACACTGGACGCCAGAGAAACAGAGTATGATGCAAAGTGCAACTTTCCCAGCGTTCAGTCATCAGGAACGTGCATTACAGGAAAATTCGTGTATTCCATACTTTACGCATCGAATGGTCAAAGCATAGAACCTGTAGTCCCATATGATGCAACCATTTTCGCAGTCTGCGCGTACCGGTCGGGACGCGTCATCGGGTCGCTTCGCTGAAACTAGGTCGCCGCGCGCGCGGCGGCCTTCGATGCAAGCGTGGGAACCCTTTTGCATTAATCTCTAAAAATTAGAGTATCCCAAATGGGCCCGCCGAAGTCACGATGGACACAAGAATCTAGTTTCAACAAGGTGACCGTCACGTAGCCCATCTCGATCTATACCACTAATTTTGCAGTCGCAGGATTCTGTGGTAGAGTAACCAGGATAAAAGAGACACCAAATAACCAAGAGAAGGCGATATGTATATGATGTGCCCAACCTTCAATCAGTGAAAGCAGTTTCGCCAAAAAGATTGGGTCGGGACCTTATTCGCGACTGTAACCCCATATAAGCTGACAAGAATAATTTTAAGAGTAAGTTACTCCCAATCAGAATTATGGCCACATTTGTATGTTAGCCTATGAAAAGCTCAGCGTTCCTAGGATCGCAAAAGGCCATTACCAGCATGGATCAAGGCTTGGCTGACATTAGTGAGTAGCTGGGATTTGAACCCGTGACCATGCGTGCGATGACAGCGCCTTTTACATCATCTCGTCCTTTTATACCGAAGGGTAATCAAAACAAGGCTTTTGACATCAATTTTTTTAACAGAAGAAATAGAATAGTTTATAATAACGATGCACAAAATCTGGCACGAAGCCAGTACCAAAAAAACCTTATCACACCTGATACTAACTCATATGAAGACTTCTTAAATAAAGAGTCCAAAGGTTGACGTCAATCAATACCGTTTCAGGATGCGCCATGCTCTCGACTTCCATTCGAAATCGTGGTAGAGCTTTGAATGCGTATGTGACCCATACTGCTTACGTTGGGCAGCTAATGGACAAGTCCGTTCTTTCACTCTTCCAAACAACTCCCGTACCAAATGACCGACCCTGATGGTATGGAAGGCTTGGGCAGATATCGATTCAATATCCGATCCCTTAATCATGCGGGTGATAGTAGAGGCCACTTGCCACCACGCCACCACCGCCACAACTTTCAACGTGTTTTCATGTATCCCATAGATAATTAAACAAAATATTCGGTTTTAAGTAGTAAAAGAGCCAAAACCTGGTCCACCATCTTTACCTGCCCCAATCCTCTTCGGCTAGACGGCACGTTTTGGTTACCCTTTTCGTTTTCTTCGTGAATTCAGTTCTGTTACAAGTAAAAATTTACTTGAAAGTGTTTATGTAAATGTTGCATGCATTGAAATAATAATAAAGATACCAAACAGATGACAGAACAAACTTTAGTAATGACGAGATACTTCTTACAATTGAGGTATGACAAAGTAATGAATGAGGTGTATCGACGATGTGTGCGAATCGGGACAGACAATGACGATGTATATGTAATAAATATTATATATGAATTATATAAAAAATCGGCAAAGTTAACGGTTTTTCAGATTTTACAAGAAAAATATGAATAGGTTAGATGCGGCTATTTAAATCCGAATTTAATGAATGAGAAAAAATGAATCGATTTGGTATACGGTACTAATTACAATTGCCGATTATATTATATGTAAATGTGTTTTATATATACAAGACTGATTTTGTTTTTTCCATAGTCTACAAAAATTATACGATAATAGATTGTAATACTATGAAGTAATCGATCAATAATAGATAGGTGACACCTATTATGATGATGTGATAAGGATGAACATGATGGCTTTTGGCATTACTAGTTAACAACACGGCCTGAAGTTCGGCTTCGACGATACAACCCTGAGTAAATAACCGTACAGACACACACGCATGTGAAATAATAATAATAATAGATGGTAAATAGTAATATTAGTAAATATTAATGTTTTACGAGGTAGATGAGGCGAACTAGACAAGTACTCTCGGACTGTATGACCAATGGCGAAGATACGAGCGCTGAGAAACACAAAGCTAATTGGGTAACAGTAAATAAATGTAATAGTAAATAGTATACTAAATAAATCGCTAGCAGATGTCTAATCGACTAAACGAGAGGTATTGTTAACTGATGGTGGTGTTGGGCCTAAAAAGACTGCTCAAAATCCTAAGCTAAACCGTCTCAGCACGGCTCCAAATTCCTACCGTAATCCGATCATGCTTTAGGCTGATAATAGCCAAAAATGTTCTAAAACAACACGAAGATTTTGCGTGTTAGTAACCGTACAAACAGGGAGCAATGATGGGATTACGGTAAAATTTAAATTCTTCTAGAATTTTCGGTTTTGCCCATTACAACAACACCACAATCAGTTTTTAGCTAGACAAGTAATGAATGGACGAGTTAGTGAACGAAGACAAAATATGTTCCAGTATGGATGAGCTATTTAACAGCCCGCGAATCCCTGAATGATCGAGGAACGTGTAACTCGATGTGTATGAGGAGGAAATAGAGGAGGAAAAAACAAACAAAAACGAAAAAGAAGAAAAAAAANAAAAAAAAGTGACCTTAACGCGCTGATTTCTTCGACATCACTATGTTATGTATATATAGCGAACAATAACATTGTGTTTTAGCCAATGTCGAGCGAATCCCGAGCTATTGAGGACAACAAACAACAAATAACATCAAAAACATGGTCTGGTAAGGTTAAAGTTGGAAGACGGGGGCGGGGTTTGCACTACAACAAGTTACGAATGTGGTGGATGGGCGTGATTTGAAGAAATCGATACACATAGTATGTACAACGTTGAACCGATGCGGTTCAGTCGAGTATGAGTAAACAGTTATTACTAGCGAACGAACGGTAGGAATGAACAACGAACGGAACGGAACGGAACATACGGGCAATGGCCCGATTTAGCCCAGAATTGAAGTTGAACCAGCATGACGGAGCAAGAAGCGCGTGATTTTTGTGGCGCCCCACAATGCATGTGATGATCTTTGGATATAAGCTGATGTCAGACTGTCAGATGAGCACGACTGGACGACGTGCCTTCTGCTGCCCTCTACTCGTGTGATGCTTGCAATAAATGCAAATTAAAGTTCAACGAATCCGGTGCTATATGACCACAACGGTTACATTTAAATACATGCTCATAACCATGATAGCCCATATGAATGTGATAAAGAGCTTGGTCCTGAAACGAAGTAGATTGAAATGGTAACGAATAAATTCACCGTTGACTGAGTAACAAACCTGAAAAGCCATACGACAGTGATGACATTGGAATCGCCACGAAGCTTCTTCTCGACGCAGATTGAGAGCACTCAGTTGAGCCAAATACGCTCGTTGGAAGATGTTCAGGTTGTTTTCGGAGGAGAATGGCTGGAATGCTGGCTGCCCAACGGACCTAACGACACTGCTGGATACAGCAACCGGCGTAGGTGACTCCGGAATAGGTGAACGAGCAAGTTTGGCATGTTGCTGAAATGAGTGCATCAATCTACCGCTCAGCTCAAGACTACCACAACCCCACCCCCTCAAGGTATTCCCCACTGTCGACTTTTCGAAAACATGGTTAGCCCAAGTGGGACAAACCTTTCCAACATACCTCTGCAGCGTCCTTCTCATCGCTGTCTTCACTGAGACTGGGGCTTTTTCCTTGGAGACGTTGACTGATCTGTTCCAACTTGAATGCTTTGACTTTTCTCCCAGGCTGCTCGATCTCGTCCCCGGATCCTGCATACGCTGAATGAGCACCGGGTATACGAACTGATAACTAGATACACGCTTACCTTTCGAACTGCAGTGAGGACTGCTAGTACTGCCTGGACTCCCGTCCATCTCATCGTCACCGACGTGTCCACTGTCACGCTCTTCATGGGTATCGACGCTCACGGGTTTGTCTTCGATTGCCTCAAGCGGTGGAATGAACGAGTTTACCTGAAAGGAGTATATCAGTACCGATTTAAAGCATTACTGGTATGAATATTACCTGAGGTAACGACTGGTACAGGCTGACAATCGGGCTTTGATTCGATTGGTTTAGGAAGTGATTCACGTTGTGTCTCATGAGCTCCTCCTGTGAGCTGGTCTGGAAGTCACAGACTGCGCACGTCAATTGCTGTGGTACTGATGGCAAGCTGTTGATCAACGTGCTCATTTGCTCCATCTGAAAAGTGGAATAGACCAATAAACCTCTCCAGAAGCCGTCGAACAGGTAGCAGCGACGTACCTGGTGCTGCCTGAGCAGCATCTGACTGGCATAGTTCAAGCTCTGACTGGTAACAATTGGAGAGAGTCCAAGAGTTTGTGCAAGGGTCGTAGTCGGTGACGGTGCATCCAGCTTCATACCGAAATTCGAATACGGTACAAGAGGTTCAGGTTTCACTTGTGTTGGTGATGTGTCGCCCATTTCCATGCCATCCGGTACACGCCGATGATCGTACTTCTTCAGATGCAGCTGAACGATAAACAATCAATAATCGTACATCGAGAACGTTCAATTAAAACGAGAAAAATCGATAAGTACCTTTAGGCTATGACAATACTTCGTTGCATAGGTACAGTCCATACATCGAAACTGGTACACATTCGTATGACTTTTCATATGAGAATTCAGCATCGACTTATTCACACACGTGTAGCTACACTTTTTGCATTGGAATGGTTTGCTACCGATATGATTTCGAATGTGATATTCCTGAAAATAAGGACATCAACAAAAACTTCATCTTCTATTCCTAACTTACAACTTTTACTTTTTTGCAAGCGCTAAAAAAGTTGTCTGCACATATCTGAGTGAGTTCTCTACGCGCTCAATGGTAACGATGGCATTTACTAGCGCCTCACGCGCTGTAGTAATTTTGTTCAAACACGAGTTACTGCAGAACTAGCGAGTAAAAACAAAATTGCAAAATTTGAACCAGGATTGGGATGGCCCCGGCCATTTTTAGGGACCGGAACGCATTTGATTAAAGTCAAAGTTCACGACATGAACGATTTTTGAGACTTCTACCAATGATGAACCTGGGGCCCCTCAAGTATAGCACAAAGGTCGCAGTCACGTCAAAAACAGAGCAGATAGGGCGTAATAAGGGTTACAAAACTGGCTGAGCCGACACACAGCCCAAAGGCGGACGAGTTCGCTGTGGATGGTGTGGAGGTTGCACCATTCGCACCGCGACGCACACGTTACATGCAGGCAGCTTACTGTAGCTACGTGTACGCGATGGCTTTGAACAGTTCACCTAACTACCCCTTATATGCAGCTTTTGTCTACACATTCTCATTCAACCTGAAGGTTGGCCACTTTTTTTGAGGCCTTATCTTTATCTAAAAGCTCCGATTTTTGCGATTACTTCGCCACATTTGCTAGACCATCACCTCCACCACTGGTCTAAAATTATAAAAATAGAATTCCCTCGAAGTATCGTGATCTGTGCACACTGATGAACAATCGGAAATCGGAATAACATGAAGACGCGGAGTTCGCGTTTTTTTTTTNAGTTCGCGTTTTTTTTTTACAAAAATAGAAAACCTTTTCTACTCTGTTCATTTTTCATGCTTGAAAGAGAAATTCCTGGTTTCTCGGAAAGCATGTAATTCGGAAGTTTAAACATTACCGACCAAACGCTTTGGGGCGTTAAGGACTAGGGAACTTCCCGTTTTCCAAACCACGTACTTTTAATTGACCAGAAATGTAAATGTAGCAATTTCTAAGTAAATGGTGCAAATAAACTAACCAGATGATGTTTATACTCGGTGACAAAGTTGCATGTAGGGCAGTTCATTTGCTTGTCAACTGGTATATGAGTACGAGCATGAGCCCATTGATCATCCTTTGAAAATGATATATGGGGGCATTGTTTACATTTATACTGCTTCATCTTTCCATTACTGTTTCGTCGTGGTTCCGCATTATTGTACTGAAATTGAGGACATTAGGCTTACAGATACTACTAGTAGGTAGAAGTAGTAGGTGAGAATCCGACCTTTTCAGAGGACTTGTCGAACTGATCCACGGTCTCCTGTGACATGGCACTGAACGCACTCGCTAACGTTGCTCCAGAATCCGGAAGTAGGGCCGAATTTTCGGCAAACGCCCGGATCTGATCCAGAGCGGAGGGCAGAGCGGTTGAGGCGATTGTGCTCAGGAAGCCGCTTGTACTCACCAGGTTATCCATCGACAAGGCCGATTCCAATGAACTTGGTGTTTGCTGAAAAAAAAGGAAATGAGATGGGAACAATCCGGTTTCAGCTGTAAAGGCTGTACAGGCTGTACATACTTCTTGTTTGACGGCGACTGCTGCAGCAGCCATGTTGGCGACGTCGACAAGTGATGCCATAGTGGTTGAAAGGTTCGCTATGTCAGCCAACGATGAACACTGTGATGTGGTAGTGACCGTCGATGTCGTCGTACTGGAAGCTGGTGCTGGCGTCGGTGGTTTAATTTCGAGTCCAACGGCCAATTGCTGTTCAACGGTGTGTGATTCACGCATATGCTTTTTTAGTCTGTAAAAAAACAAAGAATTCATCAGCCATACGGTGAAACAGGGAAAATGCTATTGTTTCAAATGAAATTCGTATGAAAATCCCATACCGTCCTTCAGTGCGACTCGTATAATCGCACATACTGCATTGGTGGTCACCATGGGTGTTCATGTGACTGTTGTAGTGAAATTTCGAGTTACATGAGAAACCACAAATTGGACAGACGAGGGCTGCATTCTGGCCTGTCGTGGGTGTACAAAACGATGCAGGACCTAATCCGGGAGGACGGCAGAAGGACGCTGAAACCATAGCGTTAGTTGAAACGTGGGCAGCCACGAATTTTTAGGCAACTCACAATTGCTTTCTGAGGTGGACACTGTTGAATCGGTCGAAGAGAATGCACTGTTCATAATAACTGGTGTAGACGAGTGTGAGGTGGTCGTAGTGGGCACATTTGGATCGTTGCCTTTACCGTTTTCCGTTGGCGACGGCACACGTTGAATCCGTGACTGATCACTGGATGAGGCAAACGATTGCTGTGAGAAGTTGAGGAGGAGATGCCTTAAAAAGGCCCTTTAACGATGCAAGATTACGGTATGACTTTGTCCAACTTCAAAGGACTTTTTCTCGGTTTGACGTCCAGTTCCATACTTTCTGTACCCTCCTACTAAGTGCGAAGAGCTAGGAAACCCTCAAGAAAGGACGCCCAGTGACTGCCACCCAAAGAAAAACCGCTTTAAAAAAGAAAAGAGACGATCTTCAAAAATTTTTTGGCAAGTCTACCCTGAAGTCCAGACTGAAGCTACATGGGTCTCCTGCTGCAGCTGACCACCCCGCAGACCGTCGGGAAAAAGGGGAGGGAAGCGGGGCGTACTTACAAAACAGCTGAAGGGATTGTGATGAGTAATCTGTTGAGTCCCGTGTCCACATGACCTTTGCACATTTCCATGCGGTTTTGCATGCCGGTCACGTGTTCCCCGGGTTGAAATGGATTTCAGCAAATGTTAAAATGAAGTCTGTTCTGCAGTTGTTTTCAACAAAGAACGTTTCCAAAGTCTGTGCACGTTTTTGCCCTATGACCGTACGAGTTTTTGTGCTGACAATGAAATAAAAACAACAAATCTGTTGAATAGACACACGAATAAACATGAGTGCATTCGTGGAGGAGGTATCGGAGGGACAGCTAAACTCACGAGGCTTCATCTTCCTTGTGTGATGTCGTTGTGCTAACGCGGTTATCGTCGTTGTCGTCAGGATGCCCTTCGTCCGTCTCTGAATATCAAAACAAATGTGTTTTTCGAGAATCTCGACATCAATGGCCGTTATCGATTTTTTTTTCGGAAAAAAACTTCAACGAGCAACTTCTTCAAGAGCGGGAAACAACCGAAAAAAACGTTGACGGAGGGCCTTACATATATCGGTGAAATGCTCGATAAAAAGGGGCCCGGAAAACGAAAATCGTAAGGCGGCGCAAGACGCGTAAGAGATTCTCAAAGAGTAAAGATTGTTTACTGCGATTTGCATTTCCAATAGGACTATATTTCTGGCAACAGAAAAGACACTTTTTAGACCCCCCCTCCCAGGAAAAAGAAAGAATGCATGGAAGTGGTTTTCGACACCGTAGAGAGCAATGGATTTGAAGCTAATGGAATGTGGTTCGAACATCCACTTGTACGTGGATGCCCACAAAGTTGAAATTCAGTGTTTTTGAGGGGTCCAGAGGGATTAAAAGAACACAGAAAGGCAGAGAGGGAAGCTGGTGAGGCCGAAACGTGTTCGCCAAGCGAACGAAGCACAGCCTCGGCAATGCAAGTCGAGTAGGCGGAACTAAGAGAAAAGGTTCGAAAATCGGAATTGCGAAAAGCGGAACGCCCCAGGGCCCATTCCTACGATATACGAAAGGCTGAGAGAGCAACAACTAGTGAAAGTGAAGCACGGGGAATAGATATCTAAAGGTGACGAAGTAAACCCTTACCGTAATCGACGCTGCACTGCATACGAAGTTCAGAAGACGTCTTAGCGATGTCGACCTCAACATCTTCTGAATGTGGTTCGCTACCACCTTCGACATCAAGACGGCGTTCATCCTCGTCACCGCTCAACGATGGTGAAGCCGATGCATCGTATGAAGCCGAATGGTGCTCGGCAGACTTTCGTTCCTCCTTCAATGAGAACTGATTACCTAGTCAATTACTCTGGAAGGATCTAAAAATGGATGAACTTCCGCACCTCTTTGAGGCTATGGATGTCATGCTGATCCATAGGTTCAGGTTTTTCATCAGCAGTTACTTCGGCGGTAGGACATGGAGCTGGTAGAGTTGCCTGCCCACCAGTTGGCATTACAGGTGAACCAAAGTGAGGCGAAAGTAACTGAGGTCGTGGTCTGGCCAATTCTGCCGACGGTGCCTCCAATGAGTTCCATTTTTTCCACTCATTGATTTTATTATTGTTCGCTGTCCATTCTCCGGAGGATGGTTGTTGCCAGGCGGATCTGAAGACAAAAAAAACGTAACCGGTTATTTGAGCAAACATCATATGACAACTCAGGCGATCAAATCCGTAAAAAAACTGGGGTAACGTACCGAAATAGAGGTTGAGGTTGTGCAGGTGTAAAGCCGGCGAACGGTATTCGCCAAGCACCTTGTTGCATGGCGTGAAACGCAGCCGGCACGCCTTCTTGCGGTCGAGGAACCTGCAAGCGTCGACTATGGCTGGCCAGTGGTGGGCAGACCTGGTCTGCACGCACGTGTGCATCCCTACGACACAGCAACGGCAACGGGCCACGAACACGTTGGGTGTCGCATTAAACGTGTGAGAAAATGTTGACGAGTAGATGAAAAAAGAAGAGGGTTAGCATGAAGAACTGTAGATGACTCACGCACGCGCAGGCGCAGGCACCCATACCGCTTCCCACATATGGACTTACTGGGACACCAGAAGTATCGCCCGCCTTAGGGTTTCTTTGTCGCTAGCGGTGACATAGCGGTGATACCGTCGCAAGAAGAAGGAGATGGTGCGGCTCATGGTGGTTGCCACAAAAAAAAATGTGTGCCGAGCCCGTTCGCGCCCGTTCGCGGAACGCAATAACCAAAAGTACACCCTCTGTTTTATGCTATTCAGCAGGCAAAAAGTGCAATCCGTGATAAAAACTGGAGGCATACACACACACGGCCTGTTTTCATCGTAAAGTACTCCCAAAAAATGCACTAATAGTACAGCAATAGAACGGAAATGTATGAGTATGCGCGTATGTTTGAACGTGGGAATTTGCGCTTGGTGTGCGTAAGCCCCCCATGTGCTTGTGATATGACCGAAACGTTCTGAGTTTATTTAAACTTTCTTAAGTCTTAAGGGTCTGAACATATTTTCGGGATAAAATTGAAAATGAAGTGAATCACCCCTTGTCCACAGGGCGATTTAATCACGCCCGTTCGGGAAAACAGCATCCTGAGCTGAATCAGAAGCAAAAGGTGGCGAAATACCCCAAAAAGTCTTTCAACTAAATCAGAGTTCAATATATTTGAGCATTTTTTCTCAGCACAAAGCTATTGATCACCTCCAAATGATCTATTGCCTTCCTATATAAATATGATAAATTTTTTTTTTCAAAAAAGTGTCCTACAGTTGAACGTGCAAGAAGGCACGTACACATTTTCAAATTCCCGCGCAAAAGCAATTCCCCACGGAAAACGAAAAAATGGAAATGCCTCCGAACAAATGGATACACACGCTTCGAAATGTTTTGCTTAACCTACAAGTAACTACTGTGAGCTGTTAGGCAGTAAAGAGAGAATAAACAATTCAACATGAATATTGATAAACAACTTTGTGGGAAAAAGTGACCATACCTGAATAGGTGTATGAGTGGCGAGGTGGGCTAGTTGCTCCCTTAGAGGGTCTCGGTTCCAACTTGACGGAGGTTGCGTGGAATCATCACACTGTGCCATTCCACTCGCGATCCTTACCGCATATACCTCACCTGAATCAGGGGAAATCCACTTAATTACAGTACTACCTCATTTCTTTTCAAGAAAAAACGAACAGAACCATAACAGATCACGATTAAAATAGAGTTAAAACGAGATTCCTATGTGGGAGTGGGGAAGGGGCACAATGACGGGGAGATTGAATGTCTTGAATTTCCCGTTGATGATGTCAGTTGCAAGATGTGAGAACACCATCGAATAATAGAATATTTTTGGCAACAAAAAAGTAGCCAAAAAAGGAAAATGCCCTAGCAACAGCAGGGGGTCCAACATGGGGCAATCTGGCTCTTTCACGTATATGTATGACAACTATGAAAGTGCGACAAAAACTAGTAAGTAGCCTGTCATGGTCATCAATGTTGTACTTGATAAATGGACCGTACAAAACATATTTAAAAAAGAAAGGGCAATAGTTTTTATGTAACCCTGCATGGGATCAAATCATGGCCGTCAGATATAAAATGACGAGAAGATCGTTTCGACGGGACGGAACATTTGGGACGAGAATGAGGTCGACTAGACAGAAATGGGTGAGCAGGAACTTTTAGCATCAAGCTGGTGAAAAGTCCCATTGCTATTACGGATGGACGAGTCTGTCTGTCTTTCTTTTTCCCATTTCACTCGACACTTCTAGTCGTTTGTCGATAGTACATCAATAGGGCGACATCACGCGTTGTATTTTCGGCATTGAGGGATGTTTTTTACTTCTCCCCACCTCCCTCCCTCCGGGTGCCCTCTACGAAACCTCCTCATCCCGTGTTTTTGCGCAGTTCTCGTCTACACTCAAACATATGCACTATAGGGAAGCTCTCACTCGTTCTCACACGAGCTGTTGTCAGCTGTATGTCACCATCAATTGAAAACAATTTAAATACAAAAAAATTATAACGATTACGAAGATATGCAAATCAATAGACGCCATAGATGGGATAGATGTGTGTGTGTGCGGGCAAAGGGGGGTGAAAAGGCGATAGGAGCTGGGGTGGCTGGCTATGGCTGATGCAGTGGTGTGGCCGACGATGGACGACGACCACGACGATCGAAACGGTCAGCGGGGTTTTGAAAAATCGTCCCCGACCGAGCGACCATTAACCAGATGTTTCCTGGGTGATCGTTGTATCGCACTGCAGCCGACGGACGCATGCAATTGCTTGCTGTCCCCCGATGACCACAGAGGGGGGACAACGCAAGAACACGGCCGATGCATGACTAAGCGGGGCTTTTTTCAACTGTGTATGCAAATTTGAGCCGCCGTTTCGCCTTTTCCCCTCGCCTCTCGAATCGACACTTCCACCAGCAGCAGCAGCAGCGGAACGGCCGGCC